GGTGTTGAATATGGGAGATGCGCCTCACATACCACTGTTTGTGGGAATATGTGATGTGATAAAACTGTTGTTTTGAGACGTCTCAAAAGAACACTTTTATCACGTCTCTGGTGTTGAATATGGGAGATGCGCCTCGCCTCACATACCACAATTTGTGGGAATATGTGCCTTATCACTCTGGCAGGGCTGACACGAAAACAAAGAAACTTTTGTTGAGGCGCCGCAAAGATATGCGGCCCACATGCCACTGCTTGTGGAATTATATGCATGCCTCTGTCAGGGCTGAGACGACAGGGAAGTGCCTTCATCAGGGAAGATATGCGGCCCACATCCCTACACCTTTCATGCCCCCCCGTCCCCATCTCGCCTCACCCGGGCCACCCCGCTTCTCTCTCATTCTCAAATGGTCAGTTGTATTAATTCAGCAGGGGTACAGACATGCAGTTTACATTCTCATTCTCTTCCTCTCATCTCCTCCTCCTCTTCCCCATTCTCTCCAGCTGAACCGGCTAGTGACAGAGCACCATGTAAACGGCTGGGACGACCCGCGTCGCATGACCCTCTTAGGGCTGAGGAGGAGGGGTGCCCAGTGCCCACCCCGCTCTGCTCCCTTGTTCCCCCCTGTCGCAGCCCGCTTCTCACCTTTTCTCGCCCCTTCTCCCCCCCTGCTTCTCCCCCCGTGCCTCACCCCATCTCCCCTCCAGCTGAACCGGCTGGTAACGGATCATCACGTGAACGGGTGGGATGATCCGCGTCTCATGACCCTCTCAGGGCTGAGGAGGAGGGGCGCTCATCCCACTGCCATCAATGCGTTCTGCCGAGCTGTGGGCATCACCAGGAAGTGAGTTGAGCTGGCGTTTCAAGGAAGTGAGTTGCCAGTGATTGTGATGGGTATGTCGACGGACCCATTTTCACGGTCCCAAACCCTTCTGCACTGTTTTTGCACCACTTTGAAGAGAATACAGTTGTTCTTCTTGTTGTGTTTGTTTGTTTGTTTGTTGTTTTTTTTTTTTTTTTCTCAGAAGCATCTTGCTCCTTTTATGCCCCCTGCCAACCCTCCTGTACCCCTGTATACCCCATCATTCCCCTCTTCACCGCTCTGTTCCGTGTCTCAGTGAGAATGTTATCCGAGTGGAGCTCCTAGAGCACTTCATGCGCGACCATCTGAACCGCACTGCACCGCGCTCACTCGTGGTGCTGAAGCCACTTAAGGTGGTGATAACGAACGTGGGGGAGGAGGAGGTGGAGATGGTTGAGGGCAAGCGATGGCCCGATGCTAGGGAGGGCGACCCAGAAGCGACATACAAGGTGAGGAATGCGGTCTGTGGTACCGACAGCAGTGTGCGCAGGGTTTCAATGCGAGGTGACTCAGCAGACAAACCAGTCTCACCAATGCGGGGGAGGAGGAGGTGGAGATGGTTGAGGGCAAGCGATGGCCCGATGCTAAGGAGGGCGACCCAGAGGCGACATATAAGGTGAGGAAATATGCATTTTTCTAGATGGAATGGAATGCAGTGTGCATGGGTTTATGTTGAGGTGAGCTGGGCAGACAGTTGAGTCTCACCAGCCGGGCGGGGAGGTGGAGATGGTGGAGGGCAAGCGATGGCCCGAAGCTAAGGAGGGCGACCCTGAAGCGACTTACAAGGTGGGTGATGGTGAAACAAGCTGAAGCCATCTTTGTCCCGCTCTCCATCCCACCCACCCCCATCTCACCGTCTACAACTTCCCTTGTACTGGCCCATCCCTTCATTGTCCCATCCAGCACCCTTCACTGTTTCTGCCCCCTTCTTCCTGCCCTGCAGCTGCCCTTCTCCCGAGTGGTCTACATCGAGCAGTCAGACTTCCGAGTGAAGGGCAGCAAGGACTATTACGGCCTTACTTGTTCCCACACCCCCTACCCTTTCCCCCGATGCCTTTGCCCCAATCACATCCCACCTGCCTCCTCAGCTGCCATTCTCCCGAGTGGTCTACATCGAGCAGTCTGATTTCCGAGTGAAAGACAGCAAGGACTATTACGGTCTCGCACCCAACAAATCTGTCATGCTCAGGTGAGGCTTGTCCTGTTGCATTTGGCATGGGAGGTGTATGCTGTGGGTGGGACAAGTACTAAGACTTCCGAGTGAAGGGCAGCAAGGACTATTACGGTCTCGCACCCAACAGGTCTGTCATGCTCAGGCAGGTGAGGTTCCTGCTTATGCTTTTTAGCACGAGCGATGTACTCTGTCGGTGGGACTTGCAGCCTGGCTCTGCACTTCCGACTGACAGACAGCAAGAACTTCATGTTCCCTTTACATCTACTCCTTGTATCCTCGTTTCTGTGTGTGGCTGCTGGCAGGTACGCGTACCCTATAAAGTGTACCGAGGTCATCTTTGAGGAGGATGGCACGACTGTCAAGGAGCTGAGGGCGGAGTGTGACCGCGCCAAGAGCACCAAACCCAAGGTGAGTGAGAGTGGCATGGGCAAGGTGAGAATGGCAATGTTAGTTTCACCCACTCCCATAAGCCGAGTTTCTTAGGCTCGGCCATCCTGTTGGCACCCATCCATCGCTTTCTTTATTCCCATCCATCCCCCCCTTCCTCCCTTCACCTCCTCTCCCCTCCCCCCCCCCCCCCCCCACACCCCTCGATTTCCCCTCTCTCTCCACCGCACACAGGGTGTGATCCATGGGTGGCCGAGCCCAAGCCCGGCCAGGTTTGAGGCGCCTCAATAGTCCCTTCCTCCCTTCACCCAATTTCCCCTCTCTCTCTCCCGCACACAGGGTGTGATCCATTGGGTGGCAGAGCCCAAGCCCGGCCAGGCCCCCCTTACAGTCACCATCCGCCTCATCAACAAGCTCTTCCTCTCCGAGGTATGCTGCCCGTGGACTGTCTGCAAGGTAGTTATGCGGTATAGTATGGAGGTACGTATGTGGTAGAGTGATGTATAGTGATGTACTAATTAGGCATCAATTCGGTAATAATGAGGTACCAATTTAGTATCAATGAGGTACAAATGAGGTAGTAATGCAGTACTATTAATGAAGACAAAGAGAGAGGCGGTGGTGAAACTAAGTGGAACAAAGTCTCTACCACCCACAGTTCCACCATCTCCTCTATCTACCACCCACAGTTCCACCATCTCCTCTATCTACCACCCACAGTTCCACCATCTCCTCTATCTACCACCCACAGTTCCACCATCTCCTCTATCTACCACCCACAGTTCCACCATCTCACACCCAGCCTCCACCTAGCCCACTTTCCTCATCTTTTTCCCCCTTCTCTGATGATTTCCCCTCGATTCACACCCTCACTTTTTTATGGCACGTGGCATTTTGAGTCACCTGGTGTAAAGCATTTCCTGGCTCTCCGCAATACCTGTGTTCCTTCTCCCGAAGCTTCTCACTCGCAGAACCCCAACGAGCTGGAGGACCGGTTGGGGGCCCTGGACCTGGAGCCCTTGGAGGAGATTCAGGGAGCGCTGCGCTGGCAGAGCCTTCCCTTGCATCTCAATCCCATCTATGCTCTTCTCTTTACCACCACCCCCCCGGCTCGCCACTCTCATTCCGCAGAACCCCAGTGAGCTGGAGGACTGCCTGGGAGACCTGAACCCCGAGTCCTTGGAGGAGATCCAGGGAGCGCTGGCAGAGCCATGCCTCTCTCTCCACCCCAACCCAGCGTTCCTCGATGCTTCCTTGCTGCCACACCTTAACTCTTCACCTCCTGCTCCGCAGAACCCCAACGAGCTGGAGGACTGGCTGGGGGATCTCAACCCCGAGTCGATGGAGGCGATAGAGGGAGCACTGGCGGGGTTGCCTCCTAGCATTCCAACCCATACTCTTCTGCTCACCATTGCCCCTTCTCACCACTCTCATTTCGCAGAACCCCAACGAGCTGGAGGACTGGCTGGGGGATCTCAACCCTGAGTCCATGGAGGAGATTCAGGGAGCGCTGGCAGAGCCGTCGCTGGCAGGGAAGCCTGCTGGCAGCACCTTCCAGTTCGAGAGGCTCGGTACGTCATGGCCGTAGAGAGATGGAGTGGGAAGAGAGAATGGGGAAAGAGGTTGGGGGGAGGGAGGGGAGTACGTACAGGGGGGTACGGATTGGGGGTATCGAGTTTAAAGTGTGGAGAGGTGTTGTTTTCTGCTGATGTTTGTGGCTGATGGTTGATGATTGGGATGACATGACAATATGCAGTCCACTTTATCGTGTCCCCTTGCCTCTCACAGGATATTTCTGCGTCGACACTGATTCCACGGACTCTCATTTGGTCTTTAATCGCACTGTTACACTGAAGGAGTCGTACCCCAAGTTCGGGGCGAAATAAACTGCGTACATGTAGGTTTTAATGCTGAGAGAATAGGAACGGTTTTATAGAATAGTTGCATGCAGCTCATTTTGTACGATCGAATGTACAACATTGTACTTGAGATTGCAGCCTGATCTCCTGAGTAATGATATGAGAGGTGTGACTTGCTTGGAGGCAGTCAAAGATGACTAGCACTGAATGTGTAATGCACATGTTCTGAATCTGTACATCGGCTTTTGTGGTGTAACTATTTCGATTTCGTAAAATCTGTACGAAGTCAGGCAGAATTTGCGAAAATTCGCCGAGCTCCTCCCAAAAGCGCCACGGCAGCATTCCAGACACGTCTTCCACCGCACGAAAACCCTGAAACCAGCGAGCGGAGCCCACATGAACAAATGGATCTCCGCGGAGGTTCCCGCCAAGCCTCTCTGGTGTGGAGATTCTCTCCGCAGACCACCCACAGATTTCATGTGACCTTTGACCCCCTTCTGCAGCGTTCCGCTGCTCCACACGCGCTTCCGCAACCTCCCGCCACCTTCCGCCTAACCCCTTCTCCCCTACTTACTCTGTATGTTCTCCTAGGTCGTCCCTTTCTTCTCAACTAATTAGTGACTTGTACTTAGCGTCCCTTCCTGATCACCCCTACTGCAAGGCTTAGTCACCCTTGCGTTCCTTTCCTTGGATCCGCAGTCTTGTGCTGTGACTCGTTCCAATGGCCCCTCTCGTACGTAACCTGACTTCCCCAGCTTCATGTTTTTTTCCTGTGATCGGCATTTTCTAGTTGATTAGATCAGCCAGTTGCTACATCCATTTCCGTTTGTTCGCCATCTTGTAGTTAATCGACATTCCCGAACGTAATCGTGGTAGTGGTAGTCGATCGCTTCATTGTGCTTCCGTCGACCCGCAACCTCCTTACCCTCGTTCGTGCCTCGTGTCATATTGTTATTTTTCCTTTCCACAGAAGCTGTACACGTTCTCGCACAACAGAAATGCCTACAAGGCGTTGATCGCGGCCGAGTATACCGGGACCAAGGTCGAGGTCCCCGCGTTCGAGTTCGGCAAGACCAACAAGTCCAAGGAGTTCCTCGCCTGGAACCCCATCGGCAAGGTGTGTTTTCTGCGTTTCAAATGGGAACAGATCCGGGTTCGAGTAGCCTGTATCATTCCCTGTCACTGAGTTCGGGAAGACCGACAAGACGAAGGAATTCTTCTTCTGGAACCCCATTGACAAGATGTGCTGTCTGGCTATCAAGGAGCACTGATCCGTGTTCTGTTATGCTGTTTCATTCCTTTCCTGCTCTTCGTTAAGCTTGGCAAGATAAACTAGACCAAGATATTCCTCGCCTGGAAACCCATCGGCAAAATATGTAGTTCGGCCTTGATATTCGCGTACCGATTCCGTTGATCCCGTCCCTCGTTAACGTCACTGTCAGCGTCCTATCTTAATCCACTCTATGGTTCGCAGTCGACTTGGTAAATGAATCCAGCCTTCGTACAACTTATCCGATCTGATCTGATCTCTCCCAATATTGTCCGATCTCGTTTCAGACTTCTGTAAGGCTTCTCCAACCTTGATCGCTTCCATTATCCTGTCCTCCTGATCGCTTCCATTATCCTGTCCTCCTGATCACTTGCACTCTCCTGTCCTCCCCCTGCACAGGTGCCAGTCCTGCAGACCCCCGACGGTCCCATCTTCGAGAGCAACGCCATTGCCAAATACGGTACGAATTTCTAGTTCTTGATCACTTTCGGGTTCCTTCACCTTTGTCCGTTATGCTAGATCGCCAGCCACCTTATAAATGCATTTTTCAACACTGTGAGTGATACGCATGTTTTCCCTAAAGTTGTGTATTGACCAAAAAGGCATTCAGTTAAGACCCCTTTCCTTGTTTCTGAGTGCAGTCGCCAAGTCATCCGATAAAGGACTCACGGGCACCTCGGTCTATGAAACGGTAAGAACTTGCCTATTTCGTGGCATTGCAGCTTACACCCTTTAGTTTGTGTCTCTGCGTTCACTTCCTCCCCCCCCCTCTCCCCCAAACACCCCCCTTCCCGTCATCGTTCAGTTGTCCCCGTTTCATTGTTCACCCTAAAGCTGTAGAAATTGTTAAACCTAGTATAAAAGTTCGAAGTTCGTTTCCATCTTACAATTCTTCCTTCATTTTACGTTTCCATCGCAATCAGGCGTTGGTCGACCAATGGATCGACTTCACAACCAACGAGATCGACGCGCACCTCTGGAGGTGGTTCGCCCCCTACTACGGCTACGGCACCAAGAATCAGGAGGTACTGTTTCAACCTTCCGCCTTCCTTTCGCCTCAAAACCTAATTCGCCCCCTTCTACGGGTACGGCACTAAGATCCAGGAGGTACTGAGACGTCTTGAGAACCTGGTTCTGCTCCTAATACGGCTACGGCACCAAGATTCAGGAGGCATCTCGCCCTTGCGGTTTTCCTCCTCCCGCATCCATGATCACGTTTCCTTCCTGGTGCTTTTCTTTAACCCCTCCCCTCCCTTTTTTCGCCGAGGATTTCTGGTTTCAGCGGTCGCATTTGAGTTCCTTTGCTTATTCCTATTGAGCCGGCTCTTCCGTGTGTCGTCCGCTCCTTTCCCTTGCATTGCCCCCATCCCCCACTCTTCCCCCGCTTTTTTTCTCTCCCATCCTTCCTATCCGCCCTTCCTCCCTTTTTCCAACCTCACATACTGTGGACTACAAGGCTAAAGAACCGTGCACCTGCTCCCTCTCTCCACTCCCCCTCCCCCCTCGTTCCCTTGCCCCGTACCCCCCTCCCCTTTCCCCCTCTTTCCTCTGCTCCGCACCTCCCCCTCTTTCCCCTGCTCCGCATCAGGTGGAGGACAAGGCCAAGGAGGCGTGCAAACGCGGCCTCGCGTCTCTCAACTCGCACCTGGAGTCGAACACCTACCTCGTCGGTAACCGGGTTACCCTCGCCGACATCGTCGCCGTTTCGCAGCTGTGGACCGGGTACATCACGATGTTTACCCCCGAGTTTATGAAGGAGTTTCCCCATGTGGACCGGTTCTGGAACACGCTGATCAACCAGCCCAAGGTCAAGAAGGTCATCGGGGAGGTGCAGCAGGCGCAGGCGCAGCCCACGGGGGTGACCACGTGGATGGAAGGTCCAATTGGGAAGCTCCAGGCCGCTGCTGCTCCCAAGTCCGCCCCTGCCGCTGCCGCCAAGGTGGGATGGCTGATGGGGATGGAGTGGGGTGGAGTGGGGGGGGGTTGGGAGTAAAGGGGGGTGATGGGGGGTGGACTGGGGGGGATTGGAGTGAAGGGGGTTGGTGTGGGGTGGAGTGGAGTAAAGTGGGTGGCTTGGGAGGGGGAATACACTGTTGGAGCTGAAAGGAAATAGACTGGAGGGAAGGGGTTTTTGGGTGAGTTTGGTCGCGGAGGAAGCGGAGGCGCTGAAGCTCAAGGGGAAGAACATGTTGTACCTGCTCAGCCCGCTCCTCGCCACCTGCTCCCCGCTCCTTGCTTCCCCCTCCTCATTCTCCCTGCTCCGTGCTCCCTGCGCCCCTTTGCTCATTACCGTTTCCCCCTCCCCCTTCCCCTGTGCAGCCCGCAGCAGCCGCTGCTGACGGCGAGGAGGCGGAGGCGACGAAGGCCAAGGCAAAGAACCCGCTGGACCTGCCGCCGCCCAGCCATGATCCCTCCTTCCTGTTCTACATTCCCTGTTCCGTATTCCCACTCTCCATGTTTCGCATCCCCACTCTCCCTGTTCCTTCCCCCGCACAGCCCGCGGCTGCTGCCGCGGACGGCGAGGAGGCGGAGGCGCCGAAGCCCAAGGCGAAGAACCCGCTGGACCTGCTGCCGCCCAGCCCCATGGTGATGGACACGTGGAAGCGGCTCTACTCCAACACCAAGGCCAAGGACTTCCGTGAAGTCGCCATCAAGGGTGAGAAGGGGTACAGAGGGGTGCGGAAGGGTGTTGTTGGGATGGTATGAGTAAAAGGAGGGGGCGGTTGTGAGGGCAGGGAGTGATGGACGCGTGGAAGCGGCTTTACTCGAACACCAAGGCCAAGAACTCGCCATCAAGGGTAAGAGGATGTCGGGATAGGGTCAGGGATGAAGGGGCTGCAGGAGAGAGGGGTGTGGGTGATGATGCGTATTGTTAGGGGGGGTGGGGGTGGTGTGAGGCAAGGAGTGATGAAAAACCGTGAAAGCGGTTTTCACACATGCACCAAGGCCAAGGACTTCAACAATCACATGGAGATTTTTACAAGAATTGGAGCGCTGTGCTAAGGTCGTAGAGGCTCGGAAGTTACCGACCAACTCGCGTTGCTCGCCCTCCTCCATACCTCCCCCCCCTCCCCTCCCCCCCCCCTCTCTCCCCCCCCCCTCCCCACTACCCTCCTCCCTTAACCTCTCCTCCCCGCTTTCCCCATTCTCCCTGCCAGGCTTCTGGGACATGTATGACCCCGAGGGCTACTCGCTGTGGTTCTGCGACTACAAGTACAACGAGGAGAACACGGTGCGGTTCGTGACGCTGAACAAGGTGTCGGGCTTCCTGCAGCGCATGGACCTCGCGCGCAAGTACGCCTTCGCCAAGATGTGCATCCTGGGCCCGGACGCCGGTCCCTTTGTGATCAAGGGCGTGTGGCTCTTCCGCGGCGCCGACGTGCCGCAGTTTGTCATGGACGAGTGCTACGACTGCGAGCTCTATGAGTGGACCAAGGTGAGACTCTTTGGGGTCTTGGTATCTGGGCTTTAAGGTGCTGGATGTTTCCCAGTTTGTGATGGACGAGTGCTACGACTGCGAGCTGTATGATTGGACCAAGGTGAGGCTTCTGTTAGCCTTAGCCTTTAGGTGTTCTGGCTTGAGCTGAGGTGCTCTGGTGGCCTTGCAAGGGGACCCTGGGATCGCAGTTTGTATGAACGAGTGCTACGACTGCGAGCTGCATGAGTGGCAGGGCGGTAAAGTTTGCATGCGATTTGGACGCTGGGGCAGGTGGAATGAGGTGAGGAGAGGGAGGCAGGCGTGCGATATTGACGCAACAATGTGCACTCGCTTTTGTGTGCGTTGACTCGCATGTATTGTACTTCATTCTGGTGTTGATGGTGGCCAGGATTCTGGTGATGATGGTGATGATACTTCAAGCTTACGGTTTTGCTGCTGTTTCTTGTTTCTGCTGTGTTCCCTGCCCAGGTCGACCTGTCTGATGAAGCCCAGAAGGAGCGTGTGAGCCAATACTTTGAGGAGCCCGATGAAATTGACGGGCTTGTGCTGCAGGAGGCCAAGTGCTTCAAATGAGAGGGATCAGAGAAGCAGAGGCAAGCTGAATAACTCAGCTGGCTGGTTCTCAGCATTGCAATATAGCAATTTTTGCTAGTGCGTTAGGGAATTTGTAGTGGAAGGCCAACAAGATGTGTACTGAACTGTTTGCAGTGCACATTGAATGACAGCTGGAACACCACATATAATCCTAGTGAAAACAAGTTTAGGAAGCTGGTGTGTGGGGAGTACAACTAAACAATTTCATGCCCCGCTCAGTCCCTGCAAGTACAGAACTTAAACCTCGGCATACTCGCTATAAGACGACATGTTGGCTTTTGCTCTCCCCGGAAACCAATCAAACCAACGTCGAACCCTAATTGCTGAAACACGAGACACGGGCTTTAACAGTCAAGGGAAATGTTTGCAACGGCTAGTCGTGTGTGTCCAGTCAAATGCTATCAGGCTATTCCGTCATTAGCTGGTTTAGTTATTCCACGACTGCTGATAGATTTAGTCCTCATTAATCTCGCATTGACTGCAGGCTCCTCCTTTTTAGCGTAATAAACACGCAGCGGCACCAAGTGGCAGCCATGGCGACGTCGTCGCCAGCTGTTCGCCGAAGATCGTCATTCCCCACCGCCTTGTCACAGCCGTCGCTCCGCGCATCCCCGTCACCCGCGCGACCAGTTCCGCCTTCCGCATGGGAACACCCGCCGTCCGCTGGGGAATCGCGGGAAAGCCCGGCGGGAGGCGGAGAGATCAGCGGAAGCGGCCGACTGCGGTGGCGCCGGCGCCGCGAATCCGCTGGCGCCAGTGCTGGCGCCGCCGCGATCGGCGCGTTTCAGACGTATCGCCATCCGTTGATCGATAGAATGCTCGAAGCGCAGCGAGGCATGCCGACGCTGACGGACGCGACTGTTGCGGCGGGAATCGCGGTGACCGCTGGGCTCCTATTGGCTGCGACGCGACCAAGGTACTGGTTCACTCAGAATCGGCAAAACGGGGAGGCGACAGACTGCGTCAGACCGCTGACGGAAAACTGACAGAGGGCGACGGGCAAATGATAATCAACTGACGGACAACTGACACATTATGCTCTTCCCACTCGCTATTGAAACATTGAGACGCTTCAATGCCAGCAGCAGGAGAATCGTTAAAAGCTTCCAACATCTCGAACTCATATTTTACCTGCCTCTCGTGCTCCTTCCTTCCTTCGTAATCTGTTGGTCTTCTGTCCCCTCATCTAGCCAGTTCTGATTCAAATCGCTCTCTTTCTCAGTCCAGCTCCTCCCCCATTGTCTTCTGATGGCCTTCAACCCTGGATGGCACACATTGGGTAAATTCTACTCTCGTCTGTCTGCCACACTCGTCTGCCTTGTGCCCACGTGTGCAGGGAGCAGCAGGTGTGGGACTGGCTGGTGGACACAGGCATGGGTGGTGACACAGCAGGCATCCTCCTCTCCTCCTTGCAAGTCTCCCTCTCAGTCCTCCTCCTCCTCTCCCTCCTCTCCCTCGCTCAAATCATCTTCGCTCGAGTCACCAACCCAATGAAACCCCCTCTTTCCTCCTCGTCTTCCGGCTCGTTTCCGCTCTCTGCTTCCCCCTTCACCTCCTCTCCGTATCCTTTAAACCACAACCAGCAACAGCAGCTGGAGCAGCACCAGCAGCAGCAGCAGCAGCAGCAACAAAACCAACAGTCCTTCTTTTCTTCTCCCCTTGTTCCTCAACGATTGGCCAATCACCCTGCGACACCTGGCATATCCCTCCATACTCCCACACCGTCCTCGCCTCTCCCCTCCCCGTCTCCCTCCACAAGACCTGCCTCCTCCTCCCCTTTCCCCACTCTCCCTCTGTACCCCCAGAAGCAGCGCCCATTTGCAAACATTTACGGTTCTCTCTATAAGCAGCCTCATGCCCAGAATCATAAGCAGCAGCTGCTGCAGCAGCAACAGCAGTACCAGCAACAGCTTTATCAGCAGCAGCAGTATCAACAACAGCAGCAACATTTGATGCAGGAGCCAAATCAAGCATATTCCTTTCCCAACCAACCCTCACTCTCTCCCACCCCTTTTAATCTCCATCACCCTTCCCACTCCCCACTCTCTCACTCCTCTCCCATTCCCTCCTCTCTCTCACACCCTCCTTTCTCCTACCAACCCACACCAGAAGCAACAACTGCTGCTACCACACCCATCGCCCCTTCCTCCCTCCCAGCCCTCCCCCACCACCCCCACTCCCTCCTCTCCTCCTCACTCTCTCACTCACTCCAGCCTTCCCTGCCTCCCCCCCACGTCGCCTCGCTCGCGCAGTCGCTTCCCTTGCCCCTGGGAGGTCGGAGAAAGCAGGTGGAAACAAAGGAAGAGTTGCAACAGCTGCTAATGAACCTAGATGGTAATATGTCAGCAGCAGCAGCAGCTGTTTCTTTTGCTGGTGGTGGTTCTGATGGGGAGGGAGTGGGTGGGGGAGCAGGAGCGGAGGGGGGAGATGGAAGGGGCATTGTGGGCGGAAGAGGTAGAGCAGGCGAAGGACCAGCAGCAGCGGCAGCAAGAGGAGGAGGAGGAGGAGCAGCAGGAGAGAGAGGAGGAGGGGATTACTCTGCCTCTTATCAGAGTAGCTATTATCAGTTTCAACCAGAATATTCTGACCCCCTTCCTCCTATCTCCCCACGTACCCTTGCAGATTCCCTCATCCCCACCACTCCCACTCTCCCCCGCTCCTCCTCCCTAGGAGCCCCTACCTCTCCTCTCCCCTCCTCCTCCTTCTCCCCCGCTTCCCGCTTGCGGTCGTCCCCACCACCGTTCTCCACCGCTTCCCACCGGCACACACACACTGACACCACTGCACCGTTCTTAACCACCCCTCACCGTTACACCCTCCCGTCTTCTCTCTCCACACCTCCTCCCTCCACAGGTCAACCAAACGTCTACAATCCCTCCTTCACCTTCCCTCGCTCCTCCCTTCCCTTTGACACAGTCACATCGAATGGAGTCACATTTGAAAACGCCCCATCCTCACCTCTTTTAGTCCATCCTAGGTTAACCCCTAGTCCCTCTCGAGCCGCCATAGTGGGGAAAAAGGGAGAGGTGGAGAGATTAAAGCCCATGTTGCCCGAAGAGGAGGAGGAGGGCTTTAAGAGCCTGGGGGTGCTGCAGTGGAGGGACACGTGGCGCGACGGGATTCGCCAGTGGTTCTCGCAGCACTTGCTGAAGGCTCTGGTCAAGAAGATTGAGGCGGCGCCAAGCAAGGTGCGGTGCGGTGGGGATGGGTGGAGGTTGGTGAATGTGAGTGAACGTGGATGGGAATGGGTGAGGGTGGGTGGCGTGAGGAGGAAGGTGGGTGCAGGAGAGTTGGTGAGGCTGGGTGAGGCTGGGTGGGGCATGGTGCATGTGACAATGGGGGTGGGATGGGGCCGGTAGGAAGGGATTCGCCAGTCATTTTCAGAGCACCTGCTGCTGGCGCTGGTTAAGAAGATTGAGGCGGCGCCAAGCAAGGTGCGGTGCGGTGGGGAGGGGTGAGGATGCGTGGAGGTGGGTGAACGTGGGTGGGTGGAGGGGGGTTGCTTGCATGCATGAAGTGAGGCAGCTTTCGAGCCAACTTAGAAGTAAGGCTGGAGAGAGGGTTGTTGCATGCATTTTCCCAATCCCAATCCCATTCCCCCAATCCATTTTTTCCAATCCCCTGCAATCCCACTTTCCTCCTCCCCACCTCGATCCCCTTCCCTCTCTTCCCGTCTGCTCGCCCCCACCCCCACTCTTCCCCTCCTCTAACCCCTCCACACACAGCTATCAGCAGCAGCGGCCCCTCTCGGCCTCTCCCTCTCCCTCGAACCTCTCCACAGCCTCGGAAACTCCGCCGTACCTCTGCCCGCAGGCTCGGCAAGTTTGGCTCAGACCTCTACCCCAGGCTCGGCAGGAGTGACAGCAGGAGGCAGCTCTGGTTTGGTAGTGGGAGGCTTGGGAGGAGTGGAAGGCGGGGGGGTGGAGGAGGTGGGGGGAGGGGGGAGAGTGGTGGTGGTGCAGGGGAGTGTGCTGGGCGAGAGGGAGGGGCTGCAGCAAGTGAAGGGGGTGCTGCTACAGCTTCTACAATCGGCCAACCAAGCAGGTGTGATAGTGCAGCAGGTGTGATAGTGTAGGAGCAGGTGTGGTAGGAGCAGGGAGATATGCGAGCGTTAAGAGTCAAGACGTCCCAAACCTCACGCTCACAAGTCACCGTGTCCCAATAGAAACATCTGCTACTGGGTGATAGGCATGTTTGCTTTCTGATGCTGTGTGGGGTTTAGAGAATTCTAGAAAATCGGGTGTGACCATGAGTTCTGGGTGTGACCATGAGTTCTGGGTGTGACCATGAGTTCTGGGTGTGACCAGACCATGAGTTCTGGGTCCTTATGTGGGCAGCTCAATTTGTAATCCCATACCCCACCGAGGATGTTTGCTTTTCGTTTGCTACTATACTTCCCTTCTTTATTTACTTTCGTCACTTCTCCTCGTCGTTCCCTCCATTTCTCCCCAGCCCCAACTGCAGGGTCCATATTTGGCCTGCACCAGCCACGTTCCAAGCCAGCTAATACTTTCTCCCATTCCCCTATTGGGATTGTTTGCTTCTCTTTAGTGTTCTACTTCCCAATTTCCCCTCCTTTTCACCAGCGCCCCGTGCAGGGTCCATGTTCGGCCTACACCAGCCATGTTCCAAGTTACCCCCATACTCCCCTACCTTTCTACTTCCTTACTTCCCAATTTCCCCTCCTTCTCACCAGCGCCACCTGCAGGGTCCATATTCGGCCTGCACCAGCCTCAGCAGCAGCAACAACAGCAGCAGCTGGAGGCACAGAAGGAAGCTGCGAGGAACCTTCTGGCAGCCATAGCGGACTATGAGCATCTTATGGACGTCCTTAGAGGGCACTGGGCCAAGGGGCTGCTGCCACGTGGCAGCATGCCATTGGAGTACAGCACTCAACGGATCAAAGGTAGCGTGACAGATGGATGGGGGGGGGTTGACCCTCCTTTACCTCAAAAGTCATTCCTCCTTGACCTTGGCATATCTCCCTCTAAGTCTCCTCTTGAGCATAACACCTTTGCTTCCTTGTGCTATTTTCCGGTCCGTTCATTCGCCCACTCTCATATCATCCGTTGCTTTTACATCTTCCCCGTTCCCTCTCTCTCTCAAATGGTCCGTTGTATTAATTCAGGAGGGGTACAGATATGCAGTTCTATCCATGATAACCTCGATCCCATAAGCCCATCAACTCGCCCCTCATCCCCCCCCCTCCCCTGAGTGGCCCTCTCTCTCTCTCTCTCTCTCTCTCTCTCTCTCTCTCTCTCTCTCTCTCTCTCTCTCTCTCTCTCTCTCTCTCTCTCTCTCTCTCTCTCTCTTCGTCTATCTTTCCCAGCCCTAGCAGCTGGGTCCTGTTTGCGCTGCTTCCAATGGTCAGCAGGAGGAAGCTTCCTAACACGGGACACCACCCGCAACCCCACCACCACCACCACCTCCTCCCCCGCCTCTGCCATACCCAGCAGCACCACTGCTTCTGCCACCCCTACGCACCATTCCCTCTTCTCCTTTCCCTCTGAAGCTCTTTCCCCTGCCCCAAGCTCGCCTGCTCCATCATCCCTCTCATATTTCTCCGCCTCTCAACCCTCCTCTGTTTCATACTCGTTACAAGCTGCTCCAGAGGGAGTGTTCCTCGTGCCATGGACTTCTGACCTCCCCACTGATGCTCATCTGCTTCTCTATCTCTTCGCTGCACACCTGTCGCATCCCCATTGGCTGGACGAATTCATTCAATCTCCCCTTCCACAGCAGCAACAACAGGTCTCCGCAGCTGCTGCTACAGTGCCAGCCACAGCTGCCAGCTTCGCCGCCCAAAATCCCCTCGTCGTGGGCGGCTCTCTTCCCCGTGACCGCCTCTTGCCACTTTCGGCTTCTTCCTCCTCTCAGTCACCCTCCGCCCTTCCGGGCGGCAGGTTCACGGCCATTGTGGGGTCAATCCCACCAGCCAATGCTAGGCTGCCACCTGGCGCAGACGTGGTTGTGATAACAAGGGATGCCCCTCCTGTTTTCGTCCTTTTCTGGGAAGGCCAGCTGTCCTTCTGTCTACAGGTGTGTCATTCTCTTCATCAATTTTCGTATTTAGTTCGCACCTTTGTCACATGGCATGTGGCACACTGCCTTGTAACAAATGCCAGATTTTTATTTTTAGATTTGATTTAGTGGCCTCATTCTCCACCTTCCTTTGTCCTTTGTGCTATCCAAACAGGGGAGGTTCGCCTTGTGGGATGCTGTTTTGCTGCTGTGCCTTGGGGTGCATTTGCACCAAGGTGGCGTAATTGGTGATGTTAGCCTGTCTTCTCCATCTCTGTCGCTTTCTACTGTGATGGAACCCGTCATATCTCCAATTAGCTCTTGAACGTACTGTAAGATATGAAATAACAGCTTTATACGTTATGTACTGGGCCTTATTGATTGCACCGGTTTTGTCTTCGCGGATGGATGCACCTTGCTTGTCATTGTCACGTGCTTGACATCATGAACGCATCCGCAAACCGCGGGCCGGGCGTCAGGGGCAACCTTCCATGACATCAGGCCCGGTATCCACCAATGACACCAATTCACGATGTCCGCCCCTTCCCGCGGTGAGGCCGTCGGACATTTGGAAACCAGCATTTGGAAATCAGCATTTCACGTGCTCGTTGAGGCTTGCTACACCTGTCCTACGTGGAGTACGTGGTTCTCGATCCGCGCGTGCACCTCATTGAATGATGCTGTGCAGGGGCTGACAGGTCATCTGGAAGTACACCTCCCTCCACCACTCCATTCCCGCCCCGATCGCTCCTCCTGCACTTGCGGTTCACTACTCAGAGGTGACAAGTCATTCCACGTCACCGAAGCTCCAGCCCGTTTGCGCTAGCCGTCGATATTTTGTGGGGTTTTGAGTTGAGCACGCACTGTTACTGAACTTCTTCGCTCCCAGTGCAGCTACAGTGATTCTGGCGCACTGTTACTGCTCAGCTTTCGCTCACAACGCAGAGTTAGCTCCTTTCAACGCAGTTTTGATTTCATTGGTCCACACATGGCACATAACTACAAACCGAACCTGTGGATACTGTCACAGAAAACAGTAACTACTTTGATTTGTTTTTAGTGCTAAAACTTTTATATACCCCTGTAAAAAAGGTATCTACCCTAAACACCTTCCGAATGGTGTTTAGGGTTGATGCTCTATCGAGACCAGCCATCGAAAAAAATATACTCGTTGGGAAGGGCATCAATCCTAAACACGTCTCCCGGTGTTTAGGGTTGATGTCTCCCTCGAAAAACATGCCACCCGATAGGGTTTTATTTTTTATGCCCGAAATGCTTTCGTTTGACGGTTCTGTGGCCGCCAACCAAAGCAGAGTAATCGGCCCGTCAATTCTACGACCAATGAAAGCAAAACTACGTTGAAAGGAGCTAATTCTGCGTTGTGAGCGAAAAATGGGCACTAACAGTGCGCCAGAAGCCTTGTAGATGCGTGGGGAGAAAATATGATCAGTAACAGTGCGTGCGCAACTCAAAACCCTATTTTGTGCAGCTTTGGACGATGATTTGACAGTTGGCGATTTTTCAGCACACACCAACTTCCTTGCTGGGGGCAACGAACAATGGCCTGATGCCACATGAAGGTCAAACCAAGTCCCCACGAAACCGATATTGTCAATCGATTGCCAGTATCGATCCGCAACCGCACTGTTATCATCCGTTTTGTACCTAGAACATACAGAACCTATTCCAACCCAGGATAAAGACGACCCTGATGCCAATCAATCAACATTAGACCTGCATATGCATTGCAGGGCGGCCAGCCTTTCCCCACTCTGATCCCTGCTATTGCCAGCTGTTTGTGCATGTGCTAATTTCTATGCGAGCTGTGCCCAGCAAGTGTGTAAATGAAGCTTCCACTCCACCCCGTGATCTGCGGTACAGCACAAGCACAACGGCACGGGAGCAAACTACTGTACAGAAGTGTCAGACTTCCACTTCCAAACTGTAGAACCCAATGCCGTGTGAAGCCAATAGAGTAGAGACGAGACCTTAGGCCTCTGACTGGACGATGACGTGACTGCAAGATCGTCAACTGACAGACATGAACAGAAAACGCCGAGGAGGCCCAATCAAGTGCGGCGTAAGATACGGCGTCAAACTCTTTGATGGATCGCGATGCTCTATCGAAGAAATCCGTGATCCAGGAGGAGTGCTGAGCGAACCAGCCTGTGGAAATGATGAAGCTGCGAGTCACAGATTCCGCAGCGCGTTTCTGTTGTGCCGTACGGGTACAACAGGCATCCGTTCCTCACCACTCCCTCATTTTTCTGGCTGCAACTGTAGTTGTTGTCCCTTCGCGCTGCAGCTGCTTCATCTGGTTTCAAACAATCGACCAGCTTCCACACAACATTGATTTGTAGTCCTTCGGCTAAAGAATTTGCTCACTCACGACGCCTGACTCGTTCTCTCCAGACTCCCCTCGCTGCATTTCTTATTTTCTCTTCCGTAACGAACTTAGTCCTCCGTCTTGGCCTTCTCTTCAGGCTGAACTCATTTCTCCCTTCGGTCTGGATTTCACACTATGGCAGCACTAGTTGCCAGTAGGCGAGCGACCGCAGGGCATCAACCAACTCTACAAACCATTCATACTTCTTCTAGCAGCAACAACCTTCTCAACACCTCGCAGCAGCGCAATCTGATGGGTCACCCTCAGCAGCAAAGTCAGCAGGACAGAATACCAACGGCCAGCCCTAGTTACAATCCCTTTCGCAACAGCAACTACAAACAGCAATCAATCAACCCATTTACTGACACTGAATACCGCCTTCCCCAGCCACAGCCGCAACAGAGTCTACAGCCGCGCCGCCACAGACGCTCCTGCTCCATGACGGACTTCGTCCCCGATTTAATCATCCCCGACACGTACGCCCAGACGCCATCCCCAATTCAAGATCCCTTTGTCGCTAACGGCGCTAGTGGCTCCATACCCTATAATTATTCCCCTGGACCGGTCTCCGCACCTTCCGCTCTGCCTTTCTCTCCGACAGAGACCGTCCCAGAGATTAGAACCAAGGCGTCCACGCCTCCACCCGTTACAAATAGCAAAGCGGCTCCTCCGCGCCGCGGTCGCCACGTCAGACGCAGCTCGTGGTCGGGCAATCAACCAATTGACTTCGACGGACCAGCTGAGGTGGAGTCCTTCGACCTGCTTAAAAATCCCGGATTCCAAACACTCGCCACGGACGGAGGCGCGTTTTCAATCGCTCAACCGTCGAGTAACGCGGCGGCGTTTCCTCGAAACAGCAGGAGATCTTTCGTCTCCGAACCGCCGATTCTCGTCGCACCATCGCCCCGATCTCAGGGCGACATCGTCGGGCGAAGAATCCCAGTCGGCCGTCCAACCCTCTCACTCTCGTCCAACCCTAAGGACGTTACAAGCTACGGCCGCAAATCTACATTTTCGACACCGCAGTTCACAGCTACTAACGTGGATGCCGACGCGGACTCAGACGACGAGTTCGTCGAGCTGTACGGGAACGCCAGGCGGCATCGCGCGGAGGCCGCGCGTGCGCTGAACGCGCTGGAAAAACTCGTTGCGACATCTAGTTCTTCTTCCAACAGAAGCATTGCCACCGCTGCTAGCCCTGCTAATGGAGTGACTCACAGTAGCAGTGGGGCAAAGATTGGATCATCGCATGTCGCCCTGTCGCCCACGTCTTCGCCAACAGCTTCGTCAGCGTCACGGTTTTCACGAGATCGTAATCCGCCGGCTCGTTCGCCAATGTCATCCCGCATCTGCCGCACGATCTTCGGACAAAGCTCGGCGCGCGGCAACCTAACGCAAGCTACCGACGCTGGAGCACCGACGCCGTCAAGGTCTACGTCGACGCAATCTGCACCGTCGATGAAAAACCATAGCACCGTGACCAATAGAGGGAGTACATTACCATTCCGCTTGCCTGGCAAGGTGCCTCAGATCAACCAATCAGCCGCCATGAACAAAGTGCTCATTGCGCTAGCTCCTCCTGTTGTGACTGGAAGGTCAGAGAAAGTTGCCCCAGCCTCGGACTTTCTTTCAATCGCAGATGTAACCTGCAATTCGCCATTCGCTCGAGGGGGGTCGCTGACGACAGGTGACGATCGCCTCCAGCGCAGGCGCTTTCACGATGACGGAATTGGGTCGTCGCTAATGGTTTGCGAAACACGGGTGTTACGGCGTGTGAGCTTCAGCTCAGATGTGGAATTTATTTCAGAAAGGGATTGACTAATTCTGCACAAGTAATTTTCCTAGGAGCAAGAGGAGAGGAGATTTATGGGTATTTAAGTTGCAATAACTACATAATAATTCCCATGTTTCCAGACCTTGGATATGATATTACAGGAAGTTGTGTTTCACTAATGTAGTAGTGTAATTATCGCGACTAATACGCTACCTAGCATTGTTCAGGTCATGGTTCCTCCGTAAGACGGTTCGGTTCTCATATGTTTCACTAAATTTGAAAGTGGACCAATGATGTTCCACCAAAAGGTCAGTCGCCTCGCCACCTATCTTCATCTGACGAACGCGGCACGACCCGTCTCTTTTTGGCAGTTTCTTCACTTCAGCCTGTCATTGACTTTCGTCGTTGGATGATTTGAAAATGTTGTTTGATTCTGTTGGTTTGTCCACCTGTGGGCTATCAACTGTACTGATGCTTCCGCCGTCCGTCAGCCCGGCCAAACGGGACCGTCGATGGCTTTTCGTTCGGCTGATTTCTTGAGACATCGAACCGTCGAAGGCCTGACGGCCGGCTAACTCCCTGATACAGTAGCAGAGGGTTGCACAGTCGTGGGGTTGAGGGCAGGCCTGTCGATTGGCCTGGGGTCAGAACTTGGAAGGCTGAGGAGCCCCAAATTCCCCTTCAATTTTCGGTTTGGGACCTAACCAAATACCTTATGCGTTCAGGTTGGGCCCAAATTTAGAATCAGGGCTATAAATCGAAATGCACTTATGCTACGACAGGCTCTCACCCCTGGTTGCACTGCCCATTCCGTAATGATTATTATGCGCTTGCCTAAAAAATGCCACATTGAATTAGCAAGAGGTGGCATACAAAACCTAGAACGTCCAACATTGGAAGCTTGAAGTACTGTGACCCTTTTCGTACCGGTACTTGTGTGTTCCGGCTCACCTTTCCCTAGTACAAATACACTAATTCCATGCTCGACCAACAGAATCGTCAGGTAGTTAGCGAACACAAAAACGAAAGTTTATTAGATTATACAGAAAGATCCAACACTTCAGGCTCCGATTCTATAACACAGA